GATTGTATAGTCTCCCAAAGCCAAGGTTATCTTCTAGGAACTATAATCAAATTCTGATAGAATTCTCCCATAAAATTAGATACACTTATCCTTTAAAAATTTGTAATAAACTTTTACTTCCAGGTAAAAGAACATACACATGTAGATTCATGTAGATTTCATGAAGATTTGATAAACCCAGATATTCTGCATCGTTTTCCCTGCGAAATAATCTCCAAAGAACTGAATAAAATCTTGCTTCATTATCACTCCAATATAAATAAAAACTGAATGTTAAGGATGAAATTTTCCAACTTGAGGGAAATTTCAGAAAAATAAGAATATGCATGTCATAGACATGAAAGGCAGTTTTAGTTTCTTGTACAAAATCATAAAGACAAGTCAAATTTAAAACCTCTCAAAGCATAGAGAAAAAATGAAAAACAAACACTAAATTATTTATATGTAAATACCTATTTTAAAACATCAGTTGATCTTCTTTTTGCTCATATAAAGGTCCTTTTAAAGAATATTTCTGATGTGAGGTTTTGTGTGTGTGTGTGTGTGTGTGTGTATGTGTGTGTGTGTGTGTGTACCAGAAATGTGTTATGCCCTTTTTACAGTTGTTGATGCTCAGTGTTCATAATCAATAAAAAGTGCTAATCTAGTAAAAAATGAAACACTAAGTTATATCAACATGCACTTTTGAGAAGAAACACTGTTGGCTATAAAATTATTTGTTTCCCCCCTGCAGTTTTGCGCACTTCAGATATCACATAAACACATAAAAAATACATTAATGAGGAACTGTTTCAGAAATGTCATATTAACCATTCAACAATTATGCAGTTACAATTTTTTTCAGAATGATTTATAAAAGTAAACATTAGAAACTCATCATTTTTGCAATCATATAATCTTCTTTAACTTTTAGTGTCAATAATTTTAACCTATTAAGTATTCCCACATGATACTGTCACAATTATCTCAAAGACATGATCTCTCTGGTCCAAGGTTTAGAGTTCACTTTTTGTTTGCTTTTAACCCATGTGCTACACAAATGTGATTACTCTTAGTTTTCTGGGACTGACAAGCACAATTTGGGGGCACTTCTTACCGTAATTGCAGGTCCAGCAAAAGCCAAACTAAGCAACATAAGGAATGGAATTGCCTCCTGGGTGGGTTCAATATACGGCATACTAAGACTCCGGTCATAGCAGCTAAATCCAGAGTGCACAGGTTTGAAGACATCTGTGAGTTCAAGGAAGTACAGGCTAACCACCGATGATGCCAATATAGGCAACTGAGAATGAAGGACATAGAAGATCAATTTATTCTTACATACAGGTCATACATATAACCAGTACAGCTCGAAGTAGGAAACAAGTATATTTTCCCCCTTTTTCATGGCTCCTCTCCAATCACAGCATTAAAATCATTCATAAGTGCTATTGCTTCTGCCTTCAAAATATATCTCCAGTTCATCCACTTGAGTCACCAGCCTGCTGTGAGCCCATGTCATCACTCACCTTTGCTTTCCCATTACCTCCTAACTTCCACTTTCTTACACTCCTCACCCCTCCCACCATTTTCNACTTCCTTACACCATTGGAATCATGGCTGAAAGTAGAAATGGATTGGAAAACATTGTAATTGTTCTTTGTTATTAGAATTATGTCAGTTTAAAGTAGAAGTTCATAAAACCTAGGATTTTAAAGCTTTTAAATTTTTTTCTATGCTCCTAAATACATGGTTTCATTTAAATCAAGTTTTAAAAGACAAAATTATTTTCTCACAGTAATGGGACTAAATGTGTTTTTTACACTCTATAAAGCATAAAAAAGTCTAATTTTAACAAAATGTTTCTCTGTATATTTCACTTTAAAATAATTATTATCTCAAGAATTACAGAGTGTCTTATTTAGTTAAATAATTTAAGAAACAAGGAGGTCGAGATGGAACACAGGATAGTAAGAGAGACACTAAAAAGGACAGACAGAAGAGGAATAGAGATTTCTTTTAATGGATAAAAAAATTGGTAAAAATAAAAATTCAGTTAAAACAATGTCCTTCTAGTTATTTGGTACCCAATAAAAAGGATACTATTCAACACAGACAAGCTAATGTAAAAGGATTGAGAAAGAATAGAGGATGTAGGTCTGAAATGTAGGTTTAAAGTTATTTGAATGGTCCATGAGACCTTGAATGTGCATAATTACATAATATCAAACTCTGATTCTTCTTCAACTATAGTTATTAACTTACTTTTCACTCTTAAATCAATCTTGAGGAACTCATTGAACGACAAATACAATTGTTATAACCATCATTTATTGTCGTCCCTAATCTTCCTGTAATGTATTTCTTTTGAACTTCTAAAATATTATCGCTTGCCATACAAGTTTATCTTTTACTTTATTGATTGAAAAAATTCAGTGCATTGGTAGTTTCTTGAGTTTTCTGTCCCCTATTTTTTGAAATGCAAAGTTAGAAGCTATACAGATCTTCTGGGTTTATTCAAAGAACACATATGCCCAGATGTTATCCCTTTTAAAACTCTACCAAAAAAGAAAATTAATGTGATTTTTTAAAGTAAAATATATAATGCAGATATAAATATCATAGGTATTTATAGTCTTCCACTTAACTCAATACATGACACATATCGACGGTAAGCCATGACTAGCTATAAATATCTAAAAATAAACCAATTCTGATGACCTAAAACCATGAGTATAGAGTAGATCACAGAACATCAGTGGGGTTTGCTGATACGAAAATTAGTGGCAAGAATGTGGGACTGAAATTTAGAAACAGAGATAAAGATTTCGAATGA